AATTCAGATTGCTGGACAGACTCCACCGTCGTGGGAAGTTTGACGATCTGCAATTGTTAGCAGTTCTGCCATGCCTCGCACCCTACAGTGCGCAAGTTGGGTTCCGCCCAGACATGTCTCAGTCGTGGAGCAGACGAGAAGGCATTGTTCGGGATTGCACCTAAGGTATTCACCGGGACCCGTATGGCTTTTGGGAGTCCATGTAATGAAAGGCAGTGGTCAAGCGTGAAATTGCTCTTGAATGTGGTCCATGGAAGACCACTGCAGTCAAGGAAGCGTGCCAAACGAAAGGGCAATTCTTTGCCAGCAGTGTGACCTTTCACGAGTGGTATGTTGCATTGTCTGTGATTTATGGTTGGCTGTCAAAAAGGTTCCACGAAGATGCGATGCATGTACAGCGTTTGTAGCTTCCCTCCACTGGAGAGAGGGAAGTGGGGTTGCCGTGGTACACTCCAAAACGGCTCAGCCAAGAGTGCGGCAGGGTAAATCACAAAGTTGCTGTGTTTGGGTGAGTCATGCATTGCCCTGGTGAAACTGCGCCGTATGCACTGTATACTTTGTACACGGCCAGCGGGCTTACGCCCACATCCAGGACAAGGACAGAGGTCCTCGCCTGGTATCCGGCCGATTAGGTGCGCAGCCTGTCCACTCATGTCAACAAGCTTGCCGCTGACTGTCCAAATTTGCAGAAGAAGACCACCCTCGCTGATCAGCTGTTCAGAGGGGCACTATGGTGAGACAGCATCACCCCCGTCCCTCTGTGGGGAGATGCATGGCTGCAAGACAGCAAGGGGCATCACTATCCCTGCTCATTCGTCATTGATTACTGCCATCTCCATCTTACTGACAGCCAAACTACTCCACAGCATCGACAGGCCGACTGCTGACAATTGATTGCCCTTTCGCTTCGAGCGTCAGAGCCGAATTGTCACCAGTGGTTTTCCAGATCATGATCTATGAGCATAAGAGAACAGAAACGCACCCTAAATATCAACCGTGCCGTCTGACTAGCTTGTCAAAGTTGGTCTGATCTGATTGCCCACGCCTTTGTAAACACAAAGCAACGCAAAGCAACATCCCGGGCATGAGGATCACCTGCTTCTCTCGCTCATAATGTGGTCAACTCGTCCAGGCCTATTAATCAAGCCAGGAACAGCAACTTCGACTTGGCTCCAGGCTTTTCATGAGCCTTTTTGCGCTAATTCAACGCCCGATTTGTGTCTCACACCGGTTTCACCTTGCATGCACACTCAAGAGTCTCCTGCTTTCTTCTCTGGTTGTTTGTTTTGTTGTTTTGTGGTGGTTTGGTTTGGTGTGGCTTTTGTTGTTTGGCACTTCATGCAAGAGACTCTTTCAAAAACAACGCAAGCTGACCTGTGCATTTCCTGCATAAACGGCGCCTCCACCCGTGCAAAAAAAAGACACCAGGACTCACAGGAAGGGCTCACTCCAGGCGGACTTGAGGCTTCAGCCGGTAGTCCAAGCATCACAGCTGGACTCGTTGGAGTCGCATTCTCCATGGCTCTCAAAAAACGGTTCAGAGAAAACAACACCAAGGTGGGAGGAACTTGGACCCGACACCTTCAACAAGGGGGAACCTTTCTTCTTGTACATGGGGTAACTGGGGCCCCGTTTTTGAAGGTCTGGATCCTTGGGATAGTAAGTAACCGGTGGTTTCCAAAGGACTGAACAACACCGCTGTTTGAGTGGTTTTCAGAGTCGTTTGAAGAAGGGCCCAGTCATGGTGAGTGTGTGCCATTGTGCAAGTCGTTGGCAGTGAGAAGGTCATTTTCCAGTCAGTGGGAGCAAGGTCCATTTAAGTCCTCTTTTCACCATCGTTTCACTCTGGTAGAGGGGCACTGCATGGTACAGGCACTCAACTGACGGCTGACTCAAACCAAGCACAAGCAGATGCACACCAAGCAGCTCCCACTGAGCTATAGCCAGTCCCTATCGACCTCTATGGGGCGCTTGTCTTGCTTGTCTTTTCTGTGACTCCCGTGGCAAAGCTGTTAAGAAGTCACCGCTGCAAGTACATGATGCATCCTTGTCCTCCTCCCCTTGGGGAGGAGTTGACCACTCTCGTGGGGAAGTCCCAGCTTCGCTGCTGCATGGAATCGGCTGCGCTGTAGCTGTGCTTTCGACAGTTTGAAGCCTTCGTAAGCTGCTAGCAGTGGTTTTCCTCTGGGCCATGTCCATGCAATCATGCGAGCACCCTGCAGGTTTTGCAAGTTGCTTGAGACCCGAAGATGCATGATCGTCTTGTCTGTCTTCAACGCTCCCCATGAGGCTCTCCAAACGCAACCTCGTCCACGAGACTCGCACGGGATGCCTCGCAACGAACCACTTCATTAAAGAAGCTGCGTGGCAAAACTTGGACCTCCTTCAAACTGAACACCTGACTCAGGACGCAGCTGCCCACCAAAAAGCAGCATCCGCCTGTCACACGATCTAGCGGAAGATGGAGGAACTCGAGGCTGCTTTGCAGCAAGATCCATAGATGGGGGTGTGGCTGAACATGAAGGCTTGAAGTCAGCTTGTTCCGAGCGAAATGTCCAAGAAGTCCATGTTGGATTGGCCACCTTGCTCGTGCTTGTTGTTTTTTGGTTTTGTTTTGTGTTTGGTTCGTGTTTAGAAAGGGAAAACCGCACTGTAGTTTGTTTCTTGAAGTTTTGAAAGATGCTTCAGCATTTTCGAGTGTTTAAAAGCTTTTGCAAAGAGTTGCTTGTGTCACATATGTGCAGTCTTTGACACGAATGTCACTTTTGGCTCGTGTGAGTGGGCGCGAGGGAGTGCACTGTAAGCTAGCTTTTCTGAGCAGGCGCTTGCGCACTGCCGAGAAACAAGAGGTGAGTGCAGTGGTGAGAAGCGCCAGCCCCCGAAGAGGTTGCAGTGCTGATGTGACCTGCACAAGCTGCATGAATGGCGGCTCGACTCGTGCAAAAAAAACTGATGTGACCTCATTTTCATCCGCAATTCCAAGACACGAGTCCAGAAGCAAAAAAAGTTGCATGGTTGGTGAAGAGAAATGATTTTGCAAAGTGGATGCACACGCCTGGCTTGTGCACTGCCGCAAAAGTGCAAATCCTCATGGCGTGTTGCGCACGAACTATTTTTGCAGGCCGAAAACTGGGTGCCAAAAGAGGCGCTACCTTCTTTGATCGCAGAGCATCTCACGCAACCTTTTTGCGAACCCAGGCAAGGTAGTAAAGGCGCTGAGCAGTTCTGGGCCCCAGTCTTTTTCACCTGACACCCCTCACAAGCTTTAATGCTCGTTGCTTCATCAGCCAGCAGAAAAAATGGATGCATTTAGAAGACGTTGGGGCAGGATTGAAGCAGGACTCACTTTGACCTGAACGTTCGAGCGTGACATGCCACGAGCGTGACAAGCAGCCCCCAACGTCTTCCACACCTCGGCTCAAACGGTCTGGCACAAAAGCAGCTTGAATTTGGCCAGCTGTGGGCTAGCAACTCAGTCCAGCTGGGGCGTGGTGTTTTTTGTTTTTAATTCTTCGAAAGGTGACCTGGTGAATGACTTTCCGACCTCGTGATCGATGGTTTCGCTGCAAGACATATCCGCAAATCAGTTGTTATGTTTGCTTGGAGGCCTTATTGCAATGTGTGTGCGCCCCAAAAAAGAATCTGGCTTTCTGATAGTGATGTTGATCGACCGTAGGCATTGACAATGACACAAAGGGACATGTCAACGAGACCTGTTGGCAGAGTCAATGGGTTTCGCGCAGATTTTGTGCAGATTTGGCTTTTGAGTCAGTATTGTTCCGTTTTTTTTGCAAAGAGCGTTGCTTATTGGCAATTCAACTTGATGACTCTCTTGTGTGAAACGTCGCAACATAGCTTTCACTCAGGAGAAGATGACTTCCTCCGAGGCATGGGGGCTTTGAGGACGGTGCGTTTGGTCCGAGGAAGGCTGATTTTTGGACAGAACAGAACCCCCAAACACTCCCAGTTTCTTGTGTTTTCGTGTTTTAGCCAAGCAAGCTGCGGGGGTGGCCATGCTTCACGATTTTTGGGAATCGTCACCACGCAGCTGAGTGCCCAATCAGTTCAATGGATTCCCGCCACTACAGCTGAGCGTCTTGACAACATGAAACCGCAGGTGAGAGATTGACAGCTCTGATTCACCCAGCGGCCTGGTAGATGAGATCCTAGTTGCAAGGAGAACGCTTTTCTTGGGTCTTTTTGGATGGTTTTGGAAGACATGGGAACGGGGCTTCCAAGTCCGGATTCGCAGATTTCCCCTTTTTTTCGGAGGCCATACACTTCTCTGGCAGAAACACGGTCCGACCCAGGCAGATGCGTGTAGGGCCTAGGGTTTTGGGAAAGAAGAAGGTGTGGCAGTGTGCAGGAAGATTTACAATTCCGGAGATTCACAAAAACACGTTCCGTTTTTGTGAACAGTTTTTTGATGTGAGTTTGAACTTCAAGGAGAAGAGACTGGGTGAAGGCATCTCAGGCATTGGAATTTGTAAAGGCAGTCTACCATGTGCATTATGCATTTTTGCACATTCCTCGGTAAGGGCCTTCACGCATCATCATCATCATCATCATCATCATCATCCTCCTCGTCGTCGTCATCATCATCATCATCGTCCACTCGTGGTGATGGTTCCAACCCAAACATGGACAGCCTGTCATGGACACAGAGAGGAGGGGCTTCCAAGAGATAGGCTGTATGTAAACTTGAAATCTCGTGGCTGGAGACTTGTTGCCAAAGACGACAAAACTTTTGAACGTGGCTGTTGTGGCAAGAAAAGCTGTGTCTTGACATGTGTTGGCTCATCTCCAGCCGGACAGGAGGCAGCAGTACACCACCTCCAGCACTGATTTGCCTCGAGCAGACCCGTGGATCACCAGTCCGCCGGGCAGTTGTCCTGCGGGGTCTCCAACTTAGATGTCCAATATGATTTGCCAGCAGTTCCGTGGGCGCAACGTAGTTTCTTTGCCTACTCCAAATTGGCTTTGTCTTTTTGCACCGGCTGATGGAGTTTGCACCTGTGAGCCTTTTTGCTCAAACCTCTCAGAACACCTTTTGGATACTCCAGCACTTTGTAGCTGGTTCTTTCAGCATGGAAGGTGGTGAGCGTGAGAGGTTGACTCCAATGACCATTTGCAGTGCCATTGGAGGAGTTGTGGGTGCCGGCATGATCGTCTTTGGAGCTCTGACTCTGAACCAAGAAAGTGTTGGCCTCATCATTTTCGGCACTGGCATCATCCTCTATCTGTTTCATCTGATAGAAGCTCTTTGCAGGAGCAAAACCTCCAAGTACCTCTGTTGGATCTTGAGTGAGACTGACTTTCAAGGCTATGTGAAAGAGTTGCAAGAAGCAGAGCCCAAGATTAAGTGGACGATCCAGTGCTATCATTATGAAACGAAGCAGTATACAGATAGCAATGGCAAGCAACAGACAAAAAGGGAGAGGGTCAACACTCATCGTGCTGAACAACATTATGACATCAATGGCTTCGTTGACGAGACTCTTTCACCTGCACAAATGATTGCCATGTTCCATTTGATGTATGATGGTGAGCACGAGGATTTGGAGGCAAACAAAAAGGCACCTATCTCATCACTCATCTTGCTCTGTGAAATGCCACTGGAGTATCATCCAGTGGACGACGAGGAAGATCAGCGCTTGTCTGAGAGGCGAGAGATATTCTTCCGCGACAACACCCGCGACTCACATCAAGACAAAAGATCACACAATCTGATTGACTGCCACCACAAGAGCAATGTGATGGTGATTCTCAGAGAAGGGACGGATGACAGCCATGCGAGACCCTGGTGGATGACGTACTGGTTCTACATGGTATGCACCATCTTTTTGATGAGTGTGCCTTACAGATGCTACTTCTTTTCTAAGTGCACCAAAATCAACTGGGAGGTGCTAAAGCACTTCTCTCACAAACATGAGGAGCTGTGGGAAGACGATCCCAAACACAGCCGTGCCAAGCGCACAGATGCTGCCTCTAAAGCCTTTCGCAAGGTGCAGCGAGAGACTCCCAAGCGAAGCTTCGAGCTTCGCGAGGGTGCGAAGCCCGCCTGGGAAGAGGGAAAAGAGGGAAAGGAAGAGCTGGCAGATGTGGGACCACCAGTTGAATTGCCTGTGGGTGTTCCCTCCTATTGGAAGAACCAAGATTTAGAGAAAGACTTTGATGAGAAGATCAACTTGTCGGCAGATGAGAGAGAGAAGATGCAGAAGCTGCTTGATGTGACCTACAAGAATAAGGCTACCCGAGATCGAATGAGTGATGGCATGCCAACCAGGCTGGTGGTGAACCAGGTGGTTCGCATGGAAGATAGCAAGATGTGGCGCCGCTTCGAGCAAAAACGCGCAGAACTGGCAGTTAGAGGCTGGGACGATATGAAATCGAGACGAGAGAGAGCGAGAGAGAGAGCGAGAGAGAGAGCGAGAGAGAGAGAGAGAGAGAGAGAGCTAAGGCTTGGTGAAGAGTACTGCCCACTTGAGATAGTGGCCCATGGACTATTGGGCAGGGTTCGTCGGCTAGTCACTGCTAGTCCAGTGGTTTGTGTCCTTTTGTGCGATCGGCTAGTCCAGGACGTCGAGCAGCTGCTCCGACGTCGTGGCCCTCCGTCAGCCGTCAGCCTGTGAGGCCAACCAAAGTTGATGGAGGAGATGCCGGGCAGTGGTCCCATCAAAACCTCGGCTGAGGCTGATGCCGAGGAGCTGCCATCGTGTCTCAAGGAGTTGACGGTGAATCTGAACGACGCTTTGGCTGCCAAATTTGAGGATGTTGGTGTCTCAAATCCCTACACATCCGTTAACATGGTCGACTTTCAGAAAGACAATGCATGCTATGTTTGTTCAGGTGAACCATTTCAAGCTTAATCAAGAGAAATATATCAATTCCTTCCAGGAGTCACAAGACGGGGTGGTTTTTAGTCCTATCCAGTGAGTGGATGTGACAGGGGCACCCCTATCCTCCAAGTTCGGCACTCCGGTCTAGTGACTGTTGGTTCTAGTTTTTGTGTAGCGGTGCATGAGACACCGATTTCAGCTCACACCGATTTGGCTGTAACATTTTGGACCCAAGAGGAGCTTTTGTTTCGTGTTCCGTGAAAGCCAGACACCCTCTCTCCGAGGAAGCGTTTCTCTTTCACGGTTCCTCTCCTGGTGGGGCCCTGGGCATCGGCGAGAACGGCTTCGATATGGGCCGTGTCGGTTCCAATGTGGGCACCATGTGTCTTGGTTTTGTGATTTGTTTTCCCGAAAAGACGTCTTCCTGGCGGATTGATTTTTCTGCTTGTTTCCTTTTTTTTCCGATTCGGAGCTGCCACTCCAAGGTTTGGAGCCGGTGCCTACCTGGCAGAGGCCTCCAGCAAGAGCGATGAGTATGCGACGGAAGATCCTAGTGGCCTCTTTGCAGGCAAGTTCGCGTTGTTGCTGTGCCGCACACTCCTGGGCAACATGTTCTATATCACGGAGTCCAATATCCCAAGGATTGAAGACGCTCTAGCGACAGGACGATTTCAATGTGTTCTAGGTGATCGGGAAGCAGCAGTTGACACCTACAGAGAATTTGTCGTTTTTGATGAAGCACAGATCTACCCGGAGTTCGTGCTCATCTACACTCGAAGCTTCGACTAGCAAGTGGAAGTCCTCAAGGGATGCACTGAGGCTCCCTGCTCTAAAGAGCAGGGATGCCCTGCTTTTCCACTTGACCGAAGAGTCTCGAGCTTTTCACAACAAGATGTTGGAACCCACATTCCGGGTTGCACAAATCCGCTGCTTGTGCGAGACCAAGCGAGACTCTGGCTTTTTGCTTTGACTTGTTTGACTGGAACATGTCTCGGAGTCTTGGACGCATCCTTTTTTTTGTGCGAGCAGCTTGTTCATGCGAGGAATCTGTGTATTCAGCATTCTCCAAAACATCTTTGTTTTTTTTCTCTTTCTTCGAAGTCTGAAGCCTCAACACTCCTTCGGCTGCCTAGCCCCACATTCCTCTTCGCTGCTCGGTGTGGACCACCCCACCGCGCCAGGGCTTGGCTGCGCCGTGGACCCGTGCCATCCCGCCAGGCGGCGGAGCCCGGGCCGCGGTGTCTGGGCGTCGTGTCCGTCGGTGAGCGGTTCGATTCGGATGGACCAGATCCTGTCGACGAGCGGTTCGATTCGAGGAAGATGGAACACATGGGTTTGCCGACGAGCGGTTCGAGCCCCAAGAAGTCGGGGAAAATCACAGAGCACCTTTCGTGAAGGATGGCCTTCTTTCGGAAGGCGACCTGTAGGAGTTTCGATGTTTGTGCCGGCCCAGGCCCATGTCTCTTTTGCAAAACAGCCACTGTTTTCTATCTCTGGAACATGTTCAATTGCTCAAGACTGGAGGTACTGAGGCTTGGGGTGAGCCAGGTGGTGTACCATTTTTATTCCAGGCCATTTGGCTCCGGCGTCTGAAGAACCACGGGCCCCACTGACAAATCCTTGAGTTGGATGCGCGAAACGTTTGATGTCTGCATTGTGGGTGCTGGGCCGGGTGGCTTGGCGGCGCTGTCCGCCATGACCGAACCCTATTCCCTGGACCAGCTCTCTCGAGATCAATGGAACCGCGTGGCGCATGTGGACTTGAAGCACCGGAAGGATCGGATCCCTCCCAAAGTCTGCGTGGTGGACCCTGGAGGTTGGTTAAGTACCTGGCACGCGCGCTTCAAGGCTCTGCAGATCCAATGGTTGCGGTCACCTGTCGGAGCACATCCGGATATCTTCGACATGCACAGCTTGCTGGCCTTTGCCACGCGAACCGAGCGCTGTGATGAGCTCCTGGACTCGGGCGCGGTGAATGCAGACCTTCGATCACTGCCAGAGGCGGGGCAAGGGCTTTGGAACCTTCCGTCCAACGAGCTCTTTGAGCAGTTTTGTGGAGATCTGGCAGCTCGGCTTCCTCATAGCTTCATTCATGGAGAGGTGACCAGTGTAGAAGGTGATGATGGAGACTTTACCGTCTTTCTCAAAGATGGGCAGCCGATCCTCGCGCAGACCGTAATTCTGGCGCTGGGTGTGCCAGGGCCTGCCGCCTTTCCAGGCGCACTGGCACCAGTTCCTGAGCATCTCATGTTCCATTCGGATTTCGAATGCGGTGCTCGTTTGCAGGAGCTTTCCGGCAAGAAGCGTGTCCTAGTGATAGGGGGTGGCTTAACTGCAGTCCAAGTCGCACAGCTGGCTCTGAAGAAAGACTGCGAAGTGGTTCTCTTAAGCCGTCGCCCTCTGACCACGCGGCATTTCGACATCGGTGAGAGGTGGTTTGACCGGCGCCGTGCGAATGTCCATCATTATGAGTTCTTCCAGAAGCCAATGGAAGAACGCTTGGAGCACATTAAAGCCACCAGAGGTGGGGGTAGTGTGCCTCCCTTCTACATGAAAGAGATTCGGGAAGCAGAAGCCTCGGGACGTTTGGTATGTAAACAGGGTGAAGTCCAGCTCTCCCACGTCTGGGCGGAGGCGGTGGATGTCTTGATCGATGGCCAAGTGAATCGCTTCGATCTGATCGTGAATGCTTGCGGGCACCGTGCAGATGGCCGACATTTGCCCTTGGTGCGTGAGCTGCTGAGAACTGCCCCGACAGAGGTGGTCGGAGGCTTTCCAGTGTTGTCGCAAGACCTACAGTGGGGAGACTTCAAACAGCTCTTCGTCGTAGGGGCCTTGGCATCCCTTCAAGTGGGGCCTGATGCTGGCAATCTCATGGGCCTGAGGCAGGTTTGGACGAAACGTGAACGAAACACAAACACACACACACACACACTCAAGAAATTGGGTACTGACTCGATTGCGGTTTGCCACTCGCCAGCCTAAGTGAACACCTAAGACACGTAAGGCCGTAAGGCATTCTGACCATGAGGCCTCAGAGAAACCTCCATGAACATTCACCAAACTCGAAGAGCTCGAAAAGCGGACTAGAGCGACAGGATGACGACGAACGTGCACATCTGCAGAACTCACTGGCACTTTACACCATCGCCTGGTTTTCACCTAGAAACAGCCTGAGCGACGGAGGACCATTGGAGTCAAGGTGTTCTCAAGCAGGTACAGGATCAAGCGTCCTTGATCCCTTCCCATCTGTGATCATAGCTTCGTTGCGTGCAGATGCTGCACAGATGCTGCACGCCCCTGCTGCACGTCCCTGTGACTCCAAGGGTGTCACACACACACACACACACCCACCCGCACCCGCACCCGCACACGCACTGAGTCGTCGAGTGAAGTGGGTTGAAGAAGCCCTACTATCAAGCTCGAGAGGCAGGACTCTCATTGGATATGATGTTACTTAGGACCCCTTGGGATCAAAGATTTAGAGGAGCAGATGCTCTGGAAACCTGGTTTACCCCAACAATTCCGCCCGATGCCGATGCTCAAAATCTCCCCAGGAGGGCGGTCCAGATCGTGGCGAATGCCCTGAGCCTGCGCGCCTGGTTGAAAGACACAAAGACGGTGCTGGGGAACATCTGTGGGAACCGTTTTCAGGCTCTGGATTCCGACAGTGATTCGGAGTGTGAGTCAGTGTGATTCGGGCCAATTTTCACGCTTGGCAGCCAGCCGAGTTTAGGTTTTAGGCAGCCAAGGGAGTTTTTCTGCATGAGAATCGATGGACTCAAGAGGGTTTATGGTTTACATTGTACAGGACAACCAGATGGGCTATCAACACGAGGCCCATGAGAGGGGTGGCAGGAAAGATGTAGAGCTTTGTACAGCTACTGGCCAAAGGTGTCTCGCCCGTTGCTAATTTGCTCGACATCTTGCGATGTGAACAAAGTGATCTGGATTTGCAGATGGGTCGAAGAAATCCTTTTATACAGACCTGAAAAGCACCCTCCAGAACACCCGAAGTACATTGTCATTGAAGCTACCCTTGCCCAGAGTTCCCCCTCACCCGCAACCTGGGAATATCATTCTGAGTGGTGAAATTGGAAAGCTACCTGCGCTTTCAAGCTTCGAGCGTCTCACTTTACAAGTTAAAGTTGCAGACATGAGTTTCTCTTTTTGATTTGGTTTGGGGTCACAGTTCCGTTGCTGGGCCCCCTCCCACACCGTGTTTTCCCCCTCCCCGGCAGAGGCGATGTTCATCGCCAGAGGCTTCGAACAGAGGCACACCGAGGCGTGAGGGAAGTGAAGTTCGACTCCGACGGCGGTTCCTGGACGAGTCAGGATGGATGGACGACACCACAGGAGTTCTTTTGCAGACTGGACGAGCCTTTGCCGCTGCGGGATCAGAGTTGGATGGGGTGCTGGGTGATTTTGGGGATGGTTCATGGGGTGGTAGGCCGACCGCCAATCGCTTTGTAGCCAAGCAGCACGTTTGAGTCCAGTTCTGTACTTTCAGGACCGTCTGGTCAAAGAGACCACCAGATTGACCCCCTTTTCACCACTGGTGGGGACAAACCCACGGATGGGCGCCCAAGAACCACAGGGAGCACGAAGTCTCCAAGAACCACAGGTCACAGGGGCACGTCAAACAGCTGCGAGCTCCTTCCTTTTGGACCCACGGCGCTGAACGCCGTCCGTCGAAACGCATCCAGCTGCCTGCGTGCGTGGCGACGCGCGTGAAAACGCGTCACGTTGGGTGCGAGTTCCACTCGTAGGGCGGAGGTCCGCGTTACACGCGCGGCGATCGGAAGGCCGATGGTCGTGTGAGTCGTGTGCCAGGCAGTGAGGCTTTGAGGCTTTACGAATTGCCTTGCACAGGTCGTACGTGTAGGACGCATGAAATGGATCGAAGGTTGGCAGAGCTTCATCCATCCACCGAGCCAGGGGACATCTTTGGCCCAAGCGCGGAAGCCTTCCTCCGCGGGCCCCCCGGCGGCACAGCGAGAGTTCGGGCCATGGCGGAGGATAGCGAGCGGGGTTTGATGCTGGGCTCGGAGGACAAAGCCAAGGCAGAGGCGCGGTGCGGGAGGGATGTTTGGTTGGTCGTTTTCTCGGAGTAAGACCAGTTGAGTGGTTGGTTTTTCGAGTAAATTTTCATTCGTTGTGCCTTACCACGTGACAAGCCCTAGAGCGCCCAGAGTCTAGGGCACTTGCTGCTGGTGAAATCCAATTGGTCCAAGTGATTGACTTGATGGGGAGGAGTAGAAGCTTGGGGCCTTGGGGCTTGAACTGAATCTCCGACCTCTATAGATTCTTTAATATTCTTTATATACAGGTCAACTGTGCTTGGTCGACTGTGTTCACTGTTGTCCCTCCGGGGGCGCTAGAACACAGGTTTCACTAGCGAGCCGGCGCCGACAGAAGATCCAGAGGATCCACCCACCGCTCATGGCGCCATGCGGTTGGCAGTTGGTGGGCAGTTGGCGCCCTATTTCCTCTGCAACGAGGTGGTGAACTCCATGGTCTGGTGTGATGTGTTCAGAGTCTGGTGTAAGTGGTCGGGTTTCAGAGGCCCTCGAAATTGAAGGTCCTGGCACAAGCGTTCCTTTTACTTTGATTGAAACAACATCTGTGTGTGAGCACTTGCAGGGCAACAGAAGCCAAAGCCGAATTGAAACCTGGCAGAAAGAGGAGAAGGTGATGATGGAAAATCAATGAGAATCATCTCCCCCCTGTCAATCGGTTCAATCACGCAAAAGCTCTCACCAGCGCAGGGCAGCTCCTGCTGCAGCTGTTACTGTGTGGCCTGCTGCCTTTTCTGGTGCCTGCTTTTAGGCGCCGGCGCAGCGGCAGGTGCGCCGAAACCACGTGGCGCGACAGATCAACGCCCTTTCCCTGCGTGGGAAGCGGTGTTCCACCACTGGATGGCTCGGCGAGGTCCTCCTCAGGGGTGAACAACGCCTGTGGAGCTGGTTCGGACGGAGTCATAAATCACTCGGAACGGGGGACATCTGTTGTTTGTGGTTGGACTTGCTAGAGGTTTGTCTTGGTCAACAGGGGGAGACACATGACGTTCCGAACGGACGTCTGGAGCGGCACGGGGTGGAGTCCGGTGGAGGTTACACCACGTGTGTCGAGCGTGGCTTGGTGGCTGCGTGGCGACCTCGAAGCGAAGTCTTTTCCGATGACTGAGAAGCGGTGTTCTGCCGAGCCAGACGACCCACCTGCGAGGCCTCATCATCGCCGAGCCCTTGCTGAAGCCCAAGATGAGCCGCACAGACAAAGAGGTGGACGAGCTGGCCCAAGTGGTCTTGCAGCTGGTCCATGATCAAAAGCTCACGCAGGTTCGCACGGCCTGGAGCGTGGCCTTCTCAGGGGCCGGAGCGGGGCCTCATGTTGGATTAGGGAAAGAGGCACTGACACGATTCCAAGCCGTGGTGCTTCTCCAAGCCGTGCAGACTTGAGGAGATTCGGAGAAAACACGATCTCGTCTTCCAGGGCCTTTTAAGGGTTTGGACACCAAGGGGGGCATCTAGAGCTGTTGGTTCACCCTTCACGCGCCTGATTCTTGGAGGAGGCATGGCAAGTGGAAGGCGATGCTGAGTGGGGCAAGGACAGATCGAAACAGGTCTTGGAGCTTTTACTTTGTGTAGGTGCGTTGGGTGAGAAGTAGCTTTGTTGCAGCAGCAGCATGAGGAGTAGTAGCAGCAGTAGTAGCAGAAGTAGTAATAGTATGTATTAGTGTTGGTGGTAGGAGTAGGAGTAGGAGTAGGAGTAGGAGTGGGAGTGGGAGTGGGAGTGGGAGTGGGAGTAGTAGTAGTAGTAGTAGTAGTAGTAGTAGTAGTAGTAGTAGTAG